GTTTTCCCCATAGAAATGCTATTAAAAATGATTAGGTTCCCAAGCCAGGCCATTAAAAGTATTTATTCTGTAAAAGCACTAAGTGCCAACACAAAAGCACCTAAGGAAACATAACTTTACCTAACTGCATTTGTTTTTTGAACCAGAGAAAATATTTAGTAATGCAATCAAGGCTCCAGGAATGAATATTCACCCCCTCAGATGTGCACCCACAGACACAGGCAAACACACATATTGGCAAGAGGGACTTTCTCAAGAATCAAAATGCCTGCACCGATGTTCATATAAGTCCTTGTCACTAGTCTTGAAATCAAGGTAGACCCAAAAAGTAAATAAACTCATCAACATTCTCAAAAGCAAAAGTAGAACCTATTTGGTTCAACACACAACTTGTAAAACTTCTTGGCTAAAGATAAAAGAAAAAACAAAGAGGGCCATTCAGAACAAGTTTGCTCAGAATTAAAACTATTGTGTAATTTGGAACTCAGATCACCACAAAGGACAGTTTAAAGTCAATGCCCAATAGATGCAAGTCAAGTTACAAAGTCACAAAGACCAAACCTGAGTGGAAAAAAAAATTTAGTTTCATATTTATATAAAGCTAATCTTAAATCTTAGTTAATAAATAAAAGTTGCATTTATATAAAATTGTATCAAAGCCCCACAATTAATATTTATTTAATATTTTAGCAACAGCTATACCACCACTGCCCCACAAAAAGAATGACTCTAATATTTGAAAATCATATATCTCATAAGGGATTAATGTCCAAAATACATAAAGAACTCATGTGACTCCATAGCAAAATAATAAAATCTGATTAAAAATTGGCAGAAGACATGAATAAATATTTTTCCAAAGAAAACATACAAATAGCCAACACGTATGTTAAAAGGTGATCAACATTACTCATCATCAGGGATGTGCAAATTAAAACCACAATTAGATACCACCTCATGCCTATTAGAATAACTATTATCAAAAAGACAAGAAATCACAAATGTTAGTGAGGATGTGGAGAAAAGAGAACCCTTGTGTACTGTTGGTTAGAATATAAATTGGTACAGTCACTATGAAAAAAAGTATGAATATTCCTCAAAAAATTAAAAAAAGAACTACCAGCAATTAATCCAGCAATTCCACGAATGGGTATTTAGCCAAAGAAAATGACAACGCTAGCGTGAAAAGATATATGTACCCTCGTATTCACTAAAGCATTATTTACGATAGCCAAGACATGGAAGCAATCTAAGTGTCCATCAATGAATGAATGAATAAAGAAAATATACACACATACACAATTAAAATATATTCAGCTAGTTAAAAGAAGAAAATCTTGCCATTTGTGACAACAGGAATGAACCTGGAGGGCATTCCACTAAGTGAAATAAGTCAGAGCAAGGCAAAGACCATATGATTTCACTTAATATATGGAATCTAAAAGAAAGAAAAGGGAAAAAAGAAAAACCTAGTTCATACAGAGAACAGATCAGGGGTCGGCCAGAGTTGGGGAAGGGGAGAAAGACGGGTGAAAGAACCAAAAGCTACAAACTTCCAGTTACAAAATAAATGCCATGGGGAATATAAAATACAGCATAGTGGCTGCAATTTAAAGTACTGTATTGCACATCTGAAAGTTGCTAAAGGAGCAAATCTTAAAGTTGGGAAGGGGAGGGAAAGAGGGGAGGGCTAAGAGGGGGAGGAGAGGGCAGGAAAGGAAGTCTCTCCTAACATCAATTACTGATGATTGTGGTATTGGGGAATAGAAAGTGGGAAGAGAAAAATGAAGAAATTTGAGATTGTGGAAATAGACTGCCAGAGAAATCAAAGTCTTATGCAAAAATCTTTTTATAATGGCCTAACATAAGTGGGTCTATAGGTGATCTTTGTTCATGTTTCTTAAGAATAAAAATGTCTTGGCCCTGGCTGAGTAGCTCTGTTGCTTAGAGCATCATCCTGATACGCCAAGGTTGCAGGTTGGATCTCTGGTCGAGGCACATACAAGAAGCAACCAATGAATGCATCAGTCAGTGGAACAATAAATTGATGTTTCTTTTTCTCTCTTTCTCTCTTTCTGGCAAATCAAAAAACTTTTTAAAAAATTTAAATAATAAAATAAAAATTAAATAAGTAAAATGCTTTTAAATAAAAGCAACTCCTTGCTCAAGTAAAAAGTAAATCATAATTACTTATTCCATTGTGCATAGAGGATTTATATTTAATTTCAGGTCCCTTCTGGTTAAAAAAAAGAGAGAAAAATTAAAAGTAAATACAAGCCAAAAAGGTCACTCAGTAATATTAAATATATACACAGAGGCCATGACTATGAATGCAGATACAAATATTTATATTTAAAAAAGAACGGTTTTAGAGCTGAGAAAAAATTTGGTTTACAAAAGCCAGAAGAGTGTTTATAACCTAAACACACGAAGACGTCTTGTTCTTTCCCCCCAACTTCCCTAGTTTACCAGAAAAGATGTAAGAATTGAGCTTAAAGAAAAGTATTCTTTCACTGTTTTCTTTCATTGCAAAGCTGACCAAAAAAAGCACAGGAGAGAAACCTGTATTGATTATCCTCAGGGTTAGCAAGAAAAGCTCTGTATTAATTTTAGTCTAAACAAATACAAAAAAAAAAGACAAAACACTCTAGACATAAGCTTTCTGCAAAAGCTCTCAGAAATCAGACACAACACCCACGGCACATCTTGCAGCTTGAATGAATAAACACTTCCAGAAAGACCTCAAATGTTTTCATTTTTTTAAACATAAAAGGGAATCATTTTATTCAAGTATGAATGAGACAATAAAGAGTTTTTGTATCATTGATAACACTTCCTGGGGATACTCTTAACTGGATTATCTCACCGAATAACCAAAAGGAAGAAAAGGAGGGAAGATGCAGGGACCTCCTCCTACCAGTCTTTCATGCTGTGAAACAGAAGCTCAGACAGGGATAAAGTCTTAGAATGCAACACTCAAGACACACTTGAACTACCCAGGCACCAGAATGACAGACAAAATTCTATTCAACAAGATCAGTAGTCTAATCAGAAATAAGGAAGAATTTTTAAGAACTAAGCAAAACATAGTAGTTCAACCTTTTATTTTAGGGATGGGAAAACTGAGGCCCAGAGGCTCAAGATTTGCCCAATGTCACGCTACCACTACCACGTGCCTGGCTATCTAGGTCTACCTTGTGTCGGCCGTGACGCCCATAACGCGCTGCAGCAGACTGAATCCCCAGAAATCTCAGAAGGTATGGTCTAACCCTCCATGTCTGAAAAAATTTTAATATCCTTAACAATAAATGAAATTTCAGGTGTGCTCTATTGATTAAGAAAGGCCAGGAAGGAAAGGGAGAAAGGGAGAAAGAGAGAAAGGAAGGAAAGGAAGGAAAAGAAAAGGAAAAGAAAGACCTCATAAGAGCCACCTCAAGACACTTGGCATTACCGCTTTTCATCTAGTTCAATGTAATTCATGCTAGGCACAGGTACAGTTATAGACAAAACTCTACAACATTCTTAACTCTGTGTATTACATCAACCCTCAGGAGATTAAGGTAATTTACAGGATTCCCAGCCCTAACAATCTGTAAACCACTGAAAAAAGAGTACCATCAGGGTTCCCAAATTTAAAACATTTCCCCACCCAACTCCCTTTCCCCTCCTCCATCTCACTTAAAACAACTCTGGGCTTTTCCACGTAATAATACTACCTTAAAAGGTGAAAAGATCATAACCTGCACTGGAGCAGTTTGCTTCCTCCCTCTAACAGTCCTGGCAACTCACCTAACAGCTTGATTCCCATATCCGACCATTTGTCAGCTCTGCCAGGGATTAGCCCTCATCTCCCCAAATCAAGCACCTCTTCCCTGGGGTTGCCTTCAGGGAAAATTACTCCAGCAAATTCTAATTTCCTGTCCCTGCAGGAAAGATTGCTCAGAACTTGGGTCTAAGTGTCTCTTATTAAAGTAGCGCGTGGCAGCTGAATTATGACTGAATTTTCAATCTTCATCTTAAATAGGAATTTATTAATTGAACACTTGTTATTATTCTCAGTATGAAAACCAAATAGATTAACGGAAAAAGGACTAACTTGTTAAAACGCAGTCAGATTGTATCACTGATTAAGCCCTCCCCAGCTGAAGAAGGAAGCTCATTTTAATCAGAAGCTATTGATTTACATCCACCCCATATTTTAGGACCTGGCACAGTAGATGCTCAATAAATGCTGACTGAACAAATAAAAATAAAATTTCAAGCCACTTTCCACCAACGCACAACTGAGGCTCCATTTAATAAGTGGCCTACGCTGTCTGGCACTCTGTTAAACGTTCAACAGCATGAACTAAAAGGTTGCAGCATGTATCCCAGGATAACTCTTGCTACAAAATGTGCAACAAAACAGTTCATGAAGAAAACAACCTTCCTGATCATCAATACAATAGCAGTGATAGGCACCCTGAAAACACTTGCTCAGTCACTGGAGAGACTGTATTCAGAGGAGAGTCTAAGTGACACCGGAGATGACAGCCCCCGAGAGATCACACGAAGCTTTATTCCATCTAAAACCTTTCTTCCTCTTTCATGGTGATCCACCCCTCCACCTCCCCGCAGAACTGCAGCTTTCACGGAGCTATGATGTCAAAAAGCAGTCACTCAAACCAAAACATCATCCCGAACCCTAGGAATCATCATCCAGCTGCTTTGAATAAGTTATTAAAAGTCTTTCTAGTCAAACACTTTGGATTAATCTTTTTGTAAATTATGGTATCTTTAGACATGAGGTTATTATTTATTCTCCGTACCAAGGGAGGCTGTTACTTTTTAAACCTTTTTCCATAAGGATGTCAAAATCTTTCAGTCACAAGTAGGGCATCAAACCAAAATAGCTGGCAAAGTTCTGTATAATTACAAATGTCATTATAGCTGCTCTTAGGCCAAGAATCGTTTACACTGCTTGAATTCACATAAACACATTCACTAGGGACCCACCTTACCTGGCTATTTCTGCTCCAAGGGAAGTATTTAGACCAACATCCCTCTCACCGTTCCAACCACCGTGTTCACGGTCACTGGCCACGTCTCTCACACAAATCAGGAAAGGGGGTGGGGGAGGGCGCCAAACAGCGAGTCCTGCAGTGCTTCTTACTCCTCCTTCCGCAAAGAAACGTAGGTTCTGTCCAAATAGCACAGAAAAAAAAAAAACAAGTTCAAATTGGGATGCTAGACAAACAAAAAGCCATTACATTCTGCACTGACACACTCTTTAATTTCAAATCTGGTGATTTTTAACAGGAATATTGTGACCAAATTATGTTACCTAGAAAATATAATGGAAGATACTCTGAAAGGGTTTTTTAGAAAGAGCACAAGAAATACCATACGGGGTCCGATAAGAGGTCCCATGGGGCAAGGATTCTTGCCCAGCGTACTAAAGGGATGGGATATGTATTCCTTCCAATGGGATGGATCAGAATAAAGGATAAAGCAGTTGGGCAGATAAGGAAGGAAAACATAATCACACCCTCCATAACCATGACTTCAAAGACCCATGATGTCCCTCAGTCACTAGAGGATTCATGAGACCCAGGATTTTATTTTGCTCCCTGCTACACGTACCCCTGTACTTGAATAGTTTCCGGCACATAAGAGGATCCCAATGAATTATTTTTGAACTAACACGACATTACAGCACAATCATTCATGAATTTGCTTAAAGTCAGTAGCACATTAATTTACCAATTAGGCCTATTAATAAGGCAAAACACACTTAAACCTTTCCCATAATGGGCCTGAGTGCCACTGTGTCATTCAGGGTTCATTTATTCCAGCAACAAAAATGTCCTGAGCACCTACAGAGTGCTGGGAATTCTTCCAGCACTATCGGCATAAAGTGGTGGACAAGACACGGAGTTCCTGCCCTCATGGGGCATTCAATCTAGCAACTCTCCCTGGCTGCTATGGGGTGGACAGGCTGTTAGGGAGGGAGAGGGACAAAGAAGCCAGTGAGGACACTAGTCTAGACCAAAGGTGAGCTGATGGGGTCTCAGACCTGAAAGGAGTTGGTGAGTAGGGACTGGATTCAGGATGTATTTTGCACATTTAGAAGTTGATGGGAATAACCCAGGAGATGGAGAAATTGGTAATGCAGGAGAGAGGAGATGAACCCATAGGCAAAGCCCTTGAATAAGCAATAGAGACCGGAATCCCATGCACTGGTAGATTGTCTCAGACAGGGACAGGGACAAGTGATTCGCTGTAACAGGAGGAAAGGCAGAAGATAGTGTGGGCACCATAACCTTTCTTAGCACCAAAGTCTTCAACAAAGGACATTCTTATCTAAACAAAACCCCTTAGGCTGCAGGTTAAGCCCATTCTCTTCCTAGATTTAAAAAATATAATACATGTTCCCTGAATTTAGGAATTTTAGAAAACACATAATTCTACCATCTAGTGATAACCATTATAAACTTCTGTGGCATTTGATCACGAAATGTTCTCTGGTCACCCATCTAATTTATTTTGTTGTTGGGTTCACACTGTATGTATAATGTTACATACTGCTCTTCTCAGAAGCACTCACCCTGTGTTGCACTCATACATTTCTCAGTGTAATGGGAAGACTGACTCGGACTCATTGTGTTTGAGTCCCAGCCCCCACCCCAGACAAGCCTCCAGCTTCACCAGCCCCTTCACTGCTCTGGCCTTCAGGGCAGCTCCGGTGACCGCTGGGAACACAAGGGCACTCCTCACTCCTGCCATCCTCCCACCTCCCTGGACGGGGAGATCAGCCTCCTTCACCAGCCTCTCTTCCGTACACACCTGAACGCTTCTGCGTCAGTCATGTTCCCATGCTACACGCTCCCCCGGGATCCACCCACAGATCCCTCGGTTCGGAGCTGCTTCTAGACAAGTGCCGTCTCTGCACCAGCCAGGGTGTGCCTCTTCTCTCTACCTGCATGCACTTCCTCCCACAAAGCTGCTCCTGTTTGTGTGATTACTCAAGTCCCATCCACCGAATTACTCTGCCACTAGCTTCTAACATCTGAGCACTCTCGTGCGTTCTGCCTCTGAAGTCTACATCCCCTGACCCTCTGACCCTCCCCACATACAAACATTCCACCTTTCTTCTCCTATGTGCTCTACAGCATCTGAGCCCACCCCACACCTCTTTTATCTGCCTTGCTAATTCTCTCCACTTCATTCCACAAACCCACACTGGGCTCCTTGTTAGTCTTCCCACATTCGAGCTCCTCCTGCCTCCGGGCCTTTGCACTTCCTGTTTCCTCTAGCTGAACCACTCTTTCCCCAGACGTTTGTGTCATCTGGGTTTTTTCTCTCCTCAGGTCTCTGCTCAAATGTCACCTTATCAGAGAGATCTTTCACCATTCTATATAAAATCGAATTACAGCACGCAGTCCCTTGGAATCTTATTTGTTTATACTGCAAACACTACCGGGACAGAATTTTGTTCAGTGTTGTATTCCCAGGACACACAAGGGGCCTGGCACATCCATAGGCATTCATTAAATATCTAAAGAATAAATATTTTTGAAAACATACAGTCTTGGAGATCATTTTGTACCGATATAATCAATAGAGAGGGAGCACCCCCATTCTTTTCATTGGGTACATGGGAAGCCATTGAATGAAGGGAACACATTCCACACGTAGGTTATTTCCAATCTTTTACCATTATAACCTCTTGCTCATGAGTAAGCTATTTATAAGGTATATTTCTAAAAAGAGAATTGCTGGATCAAAAGTATACATTTTCAATTTTGAAAAAGAATGCCAGATTGTCTTCCATAGAGATTTATAGCAATTTATTCTCCTTTCAGCCACAAATAGAGACTATTTATCCACACATTTGTCAATGTAATCTCTTGTCAAACATTGTTGTAAAATCTCGGCAAATAGGGTAGTAAAAAATAGCATCTCGCTGTGTTTCCATTTGCTTTTTCTAATGAGTTTTTTTTTGGTTCTTTTTTGATTGATAGTCACTCTTTGAGCATTAAGAAAATTTATTTCATTCCCTTTGGTTTTCCTCTTCTATATCCCTTGTACATCCTGTAATCCAGCCATTCTGAATTGTCTGCTATTGTCCAAACGGGCCACATTTTGGAAAATGCCCATTCCTTTCACCTCCAGTCAAGTTCAAAGGCGTTTCAATGTTTATGGAATGTCCCGTATTCTTCTCATAGGACTTAATCCCTCCTTTCTCAGGGTGCCCATGGCACATTTTTAGAGCTTCATAATAACATCATTTCACTCTGCCACGTACATATGTTAGATTCTTAAAGTTCAAGATCAAAGTCTCCATCTTAGCATCCATTATGATGTCCAATACATTCGCTCAATTAATGTGGGATGAAAGACTGAATCAGAAGTAAAGACTATGAATCTTAATTATATATGTTCCTTAAACTTCTGAAACAATGTTGTAAATCTCGTGATGGGGATAATAAAATGAAGTGAAGATCTGGACACTTGTTCTTTGGCCTAAAAGTTCATATCACACCTTCATAAATGCTACTAAAATCCTTCTTTTGAGTTTTTTACTTAGTGCTGTTTAACACTGAAATCGTGACTGTGACTTAAATGATTAGAGAACATAACTAAGATCAAAGTACTTTTTTAAAGCAAGGTACAAGTGCCCAATAAACTTAGGAAAAGGTGATCAACTTCTTTGCTAATCAAGGAAATGCAATTTTAAAATCACAAGATACCATTAAGCCTCCAAGAAAATAGCTAAAAAGAAAAAGCCAGACAATGTCAAGAGTGAATGTAGATAACCTAGAACCCATATTCCGCTGGAGGAAATTGACACAACCATTTTGGAAAAAGGGGTAAGTCAACAGAAGCTACACATATATCAATGCCGTGCCCCAGAAATTTTACTCCTCAGTATACAGTCTATAAAAATGCACACGTTCACCAGAAGCTATGTACAAGAATGTCCACAGCACCATTAACTCTAACAACCTAAAATCGGAAATACCCAAATGTTTATCAATAGTAGAATGGAAAAACAAATTTTGGTATTCATACAATGGGATTCTAACAGCAAAGAGAATGAGCAAGCTACAACATCACACCAAAATAGGAGTGAATCTCACAGATACAAAGAGCCACTTAAATTACAAAAACAGGCAAAGCTAATCTGATGGTGTCACAAGTCAGGGGACCCCCTTTATAGTAGGCATGGGGACTGGGGACAATATAGGCACTATATTCTAAGTGGTGATATATGTGCATATATATATATATATATATAGAATATATATATATATTCTAATATATTCTAATATATTCTTAAATATATATATATATATATACACACACACACACATATATCACCACTTCTAAGGAAGTGGTGATATTCTGTTTCTTGATCTAGATGCTGGTTACAGACATGCGTTCATCTTATGAAAACTCGTTAAACTGCATTTGTGGTTTGTATACTTTCCTGCACGTGCATTACATGTCAATATAAAGTTTATTTAAAATAAAAGCAATAGGCTGAACCTCCAAAAGAGAATGTATTTCTTTTAAAATACCTTTCATGAATAAATGTTTTTAAATGTCATAAGAAGCATTGGCCACTTGCAAACGTAACTGCTTCGCACTGGTTTGACCCAAGAGCACACTACTGAAAAGAGAGTCCAGGGAAAGCAATTTTCTACTCCTGAAATAATGCAGAGGCCATGAATGGTAGTTGGAATTGTTTAAGACAAAAAAAAAAAAAAAGGTGACCAGAGGCAATCAGCTATAGGGAACAAGCAATGATTGCAGAAAAAGATGAAAAGGAACAAAACCTTCTAAAAATTATACCAAAATAGCAATTACTCTTAAATAAGCCTTCTGTTGAGCTACTAAAAAAAAAAAACCCTATTTATTCGAATGCAGATATGTGCCTCAGCACCCAGCTCCCCTCCCGATATTATTTTAAAACACTGCACAACAAAGAAAGAGAGTGTCATGGGAGTGGTAATTAATGGCAAGTGCAGGTGTCTGAACAGAGGGAAACCAAGGGAATGAGACACAAACCCTTCCACCTCATTAGTCTTCTAAAAATATTCTCATAATACAAAGGCATGCCCTGCTTACGTAGTATTTAAATGAATGAGAAACCTCATCAAAATGGTTTTTGTGAATCTTAACCATAGCCCAGAT